TGTGGGACTCCTCAGCTGTGCGCATCCACGATCCCACCACGTGAGATTCGAACTCAGGACCTAACAAATGGATTAAAGTGTGAATGGAATAGGATAATTAGGAATATTTTTGTCATAGTAATTATCAAAGGTATTAGATGGATTAAATGTAATAAAGTGATATAAGAAACAATTACGCATACAAACATGAGGATTTAAGGAATGGTTAAAGAGAGAGGAAGGACACATTTTAATGCGAAATTGATCAAATGTGAGTATAATAGTAATAGTATTAATAGTAAAAAGAATAAGTTAAGATAACAACAAAGATAGGGACGAAATGTGCTTCTTTTGCACACAAACATATTACTTTCTGATAAGTAATTATCTTAGTTATCAAAGCTGATTTTGTCGCATATCTATGAATGATTTTAAAATATTTATTTTTTATTTATTTATCTGAACACATAAATATTGGTACAAGGAAGCACCAGATACATATGCGCCACACAAATCTCATTTGCTTTTTCTGAGGGCTGTGAAACTGCCCAGGTGCCCGAACCGAAACAGGTGGAATTCTTAGGGCGCCACACCCAGAGTCTTTGATCTAAAGGTCCAATCCACAAAGCAGTGGAGCTATGTAAGGAGATGCAGTCCCATGGTAGCCGGTGGCCAACAATGGGTTCATACTCCATTTGTTCCTTCAGGATCCTGGAGCCCATGTGCACTATTGGTTTGGAATCAGGGTTTTCCAACTCTCCTAGGTGGACTCTCCGAAACCAACAACCCGGTTAAATCACCGGACATCCGCTTCTCGTCCTCTCAATTTCGTAAACAACACCCCCGCCACGAGAAGGCATTCAGTAGGACTTCCCTGTCAGAGGATATATATGTGTGGCCATGTGAGAGCACTTCGAGAGAGAGAGAGAGAGAGAGTGAACTCTTTCGACTCTCGGCCGTACTAGGGCATTTTAAAATAACTGTGAATTAATTTCAAGTTAACGGAATATACCCATTAAGACATAAAATAAGAAAGGGTGTTTCAGAGAAGAGTTCTCTTTCTGGCGAATACGTTTTCAAAACTGTACAATCTCAAATACACAATTATTTTTCAAGATGACAATAATTAGTAATAATAAAATCCTATTAAATCCTAAGTAGAACAAACAGAGGAATTAGAACGTTATTTTTATCAGAGAAAGTGATAATAGTTATATTATTTTGATCATGAAGATAGGTAGGGAAGTTATAATTGAGAAGGTAAGGCTCGGCATGGTAACATAAAATGTTGAAATTGAGATTAAATTTAGTCAAGGGGATCATAGAAGCAGAAATAAACCAATTGGAGATAAAAGGTTTATAGAGAAGATAGAAGGGGAAGAAGATGGTTTTAAAGGAAGAAAAGTATGAAGAAAGAAAATCGTGAGATATTCAGACCATAGTAAAGGGAGAAGTTGGACCAATTTCTTTCGGTTTCAGTTCTAGTTTATCCAGATGCATAATTTTACATGCCAAAGGCAGTTATATTGTATCTTGTTAACATTAGAAAAGCAGTTATCGTTAAAGTTATCTCTGGATTCTCCCTATCAGTAAGAATAAGATTTACGAAGTAAATATATAATCATTGAAACACCAATGTATTCGATGTTACAAAGTTTTATATAGTGTTCTTATGCTGAGTAGAGGAAGTTAAAAATTTCTATGATCCAAAGTCTATTCATCATCAGGTAAGAATACTATATACTTCAAGTAATGGATTAGTGCATTAAAAGTTTAGGCGTTGAACTTTTAACCATTAAATCATTGGTTTGATCGGCTGAGAAGTATCACCAGCATTTATGTTTGAAATATTTCTTCATCTTTATATCGTAATTAAACTATTTCAATAAATATCTTTCTTTTTGAGACCGACAATTAAATAGTCACAAAATATACCTGTTTTGACTCTCTACAACTACAAAACATTAAAATACATATCAGTACAATGCTTTTCATTAAAAGATTAAAATTAAAATGTTTATTATCTTTAATAATATATTATCATTAAAATTTATAACATTACCAAATATCTATTCCCCTTTACACCAAAACTAATCTTTTATCTTTATATAGATACTACTCATAGATGTATTTATTAAGATATATAATGTTGAATGTATCAATTTCTTGCAGAAACCCCCCCCCTACCCCCCTCCTCAAAAAAAAGAAAAAAAAAGAACAAAAGTTATTTTATTTACACTAACAGAATGTAATAAATTGTAGTCAATGTATCAAATTACAAATTAAAAGTTTAATTTTTTTTTTCTTAACAGTTAAGTTAACAATTTCAATTTAATTCATTTAAAATGTTCATTTTAAACAAAATAAAATTCTATTCTAAAAACACTATAGGTTATTTGTTTAATTTAACATATTTATAATTATAATCAAATATGGATAGTGGCTAGCAGTGGAATCCAGGATGCTCGCCATTTTGTCCTATTTGAGACTCATCACGTGGATGTACCTGCATCTCACAGTTGATTTTACACTCTGGGACTCGAACCCAGTACCTTTCGCTTCAAACGCCATCACGTTATCCATTCAGCTACTGAGTCCTTATAGCCACTTGCTTGTGTATTGGGGTGAAGTATGAATTCAATTAGTATTGTTTGTTTGAATCTTCCCGTTAATGTTTAGGCAATACGCACAGTATGCACATATGGCCAATAAGAAACTGACCAGTTGCAGTCCTAAGCATCAAGATTCTAGCAAACAATACTAAGTGAATTTATATATAATTATGTTATTTAAATCTACATATTCTCTTTAATAAATGCCTCATTTGTGAAATTGTTCACCTAGAGACAATTCTTGCTTCTATCTGAGCACCCAGGCAGTATCATAGCTCTTACACATATCAATGATAACTGCTATCGGCCTCATTGTTATTGTATGGCGTATATGCATTTAAAGCAATTAGTCCCTTTGATAAATTTCGATAGTGTAATAAGAAGACGAAGATGATCAGAACTATATGACATAGAATTAAATGACCCGATAAGAGTAGAGGATAAACATCCATCGTCCTCTATTGCCAAACTTATAATCGAAAGAAGCATGAGATTAATCTCAACTAGGCTTTTGTGGTGTTGTATGAAAATGTTAAAGGGTGTATACTAAGGTTTATTGAAGCCTTAACCATACAAAAATTCAAACCCCCTTGTGTATTCAAAAAACAGTTTTTCCTCACCTTAAACCTACCCTGGTAATATTAGCTTATTACCCAAAGTGATTAGGTTTCGAATTGTTTTCGCATTATTTTCTTGATTATTCTTGTCTCCTCTTACTCTCAATTTCCAGTCCAGTTGACCTTTTATTTTTATATATAAATATTCTTAACAATTATATGTGTGATCAGATTGTTCGAAATGTATTGCGATAATATACCAATACATAGTTCTGATAATCATCGTCTTCTTATTACACTGTCGAAGTATATTTGGTGCCCCCTTGTACAAATGTTTATGTGTTCAATAAAATAAATTTAAAAAAATGAAAACCATGAAGGTGAAAAATTAACATTTTTCATATATATACATAATTATCAGAAGGGGTTTTGTGGAGATTTAGTATTTTTCATAGTTGAAAGCGTGAGTCAATTGAAGCTAGACCACCATGGAAAACCTGGAAACACTGGACGAGCGTTTCGTCCCATTATGGGACTCCTCAGCAGTGCTCATCGACGAAACCGCTCTCGCGAGATTCGAACCCAGGACCTACCAGTCTCGAGCCGAAGCACTTAACCGATAAACCATTGAGCTGGCATCCAACGGTGTTACTGTCTAACGTCAACTGATCCACAAAGTTGAACAACCATTCACCAATTGTCTTCAGTGAGTTCCTATCTCACAACAGACGTTGTTTTGAACTCCACTGGTCACTGCCTCTCAGGTTTTCCATGGTGGTCCAGCTTCAATTGACTCACGCTTTCAACTATGAAAATTATACATGATTGTTAAAAATACACACAATTACAGGAATATGATAGTTAACAATAAATCCTATGATTAATTATAACAGGTGAATTCACGAATCGATCTAAGTTAGACCATTATTGTAAACCTAGATAAAGGGTTATGCAATATCATGTTACGATTGAAGTTAAAAATTGACACCGTTGGGTAGCGGTTCAGTGGTTTATAGACTAAATATTTGCACATGAAACCGAAGGTCCTGGGTTGGAAACTCACACGCGGGATCGTGGATGAGCACTGCTTAGGATTCTCGTACTGTGACAAAACGGTCATCTAGTACTTCCTGGTTTTCAATGACAATCTTGCTTAGATCGATTAGTGAATTCAACTGTTAAAAAACTGCAATCTCCTTAAATCCCAATACTGATTAATTATAAGTTAACATACGAAATTAATACTCGGTTTTAGTAAAGCATTGTATCTCCTCAAGATCATTTTTTGAACTTATTCAATCGTATGAACATCAAATTATGAGCCTATAAACTAATTGTTTGTTTCTTGTAACTTGTAACAAGCATATAACTAGCTGATACAGTCACAGTTTAATACCATGACATATAGATGTTTATATTATTTTTAAATATGAGGTCTTTGATAAGTATTGCTTAATTGAACTAACTGTTCTATGACTTAGTAGGTAGATACAAACGATAAAAAAGTCATTGACTTGACATTTCAAGAAACCTGATAATTTCCTTATTACATCAAGTATAAAGATTAATAGAGAAATTTTAAAAGTTTGTTCTTTTCAATTAGGAATTTCTGTTTCACAGAAATTATTGGGTTATTATTGGGTTCGAGTCCCAGAGTGAACATCAACTCTGAGATGTAGGTAGATCCATCGAACGAGTCCCATATAGAACGAAACGCGCATCTTGGATTCCACTGCTAGCCATTATCCCTATTTGCTTATAATGCTTATGAATAGCGCATAATATTTCTTAAACTTTTTATTGGTCAAATAGCAGCCTTCAGTATATGTTTCCTTTTTATATTTCTTTTTAGATATTATTTACGAAATATCCAATTAATATGAATAATTATTGGTTTCAACTCTTCTGTTGTATGATTATTGGATTTCTAATACTAACTAGTCATACTAGTTGCATGGACTCTGATAATGATCCTTCAGATATCAGTGCAGATAAACGCTTTCTGTTAGCTTTACCATCACCCAAAAGGTTAAGCCAACCTTCATATTCGTTTAACCGTTACAGACGTCCAATGTATGGATATGGCTATAGACCAGATTATATTGATGCTGATGAAGATTTATTCAATGAAGATAAAAGATTTCTACTTGGTCTACCGCCTAAAGTTGAACATAAACGTTTTCTACTTGGTTTACCACCATCACTTAGACAACATAAAAGGTTCATTTTAGGGCTACCAGCACCAACTAGATTTCATTCGTAATTGAAGATAGTTTTAAACACGTGAACACTTACACACATATGCATACAAAACATTTCACCAGACATATATGTATTCATTATATAACATGTCTGAATAATAAATTATAAAGAGGAAGTTTTGTTTTATATGAATGGTAAATACTAGATCTTTTTAGTATCGAGTTGTGGAAATTTTTGAATTTCTTTAAAATAATAAGCCCGTCAAAAGAAGCCATTGTCAATGATACTAATCTGTGTCAGATGAGGAAACTACCCACCAAAGACGATAGAAGATGGTCACGCAATGTCGTGGATCCATCAAAGTTGAATATTAACACCGTTGGATGCCGGTTCAATCGTCTAGAGGTTAAACGTTTGTGTGAAAGGTCGAAGTCCCGCGTGCAGGATAGTGGATTCCCACTGCTGAGGATCCTCACAGTAAGACGAAACGGTCATTCAGTACTTCCAGGTTTTTAATGGTTGTCTAAGATAGGTCGGTCTATGATTCCAACAAGATATCGTATATCTTACTTTTATCAATAGTATTAGTTGATTTTTTTAAAAGATTTGGATTGTATGAAATTATAATGACGCTATGGGACAGAGCAGTACGTGAATCACAATGACCGATAAAATAACTTGTTACTTTTTAAGCTATGCAAAGCTTCATACTAGTAACAATAAAATATAAACTGAAAGTTCTCTGACAAGTTACTTTTATGGTCCGAATCGATATATTTTCAAGAAGATATGCTGAAATAAGGCCTGTTTGATGGATGAATCGAAACATCAGTTATTTATTCAAATTTGTTATTTAGTCATACACTGAATCAGTGCACCAAAGTGTTTCACCAATACGATTTAAATATATCCAGCCTAGGATTTGTTATCTTGAATAAGGATTAATAGTTTTCATATCCACCCAAGGAAATCGTTAAAATACGTAGATAAAGAAACGAGTTAACATCGTATTATAACAGTTACTGAACAGTAGTGATTCTACGCTTTGAAGTCGATCAATTATTTTAAACGTAGGATAAGACTATGTAACCAACGACTCTGCCTGAGTAAAAACGAGGTTTCAAACTGTAAAATTAGAATTTTATAGAACGAAAACTAACAGACTGTGAGTCTTTGAGTGATTTGTGTCAGGAGTAGTCGGGATAGTTTTTCAATAGGGAAGCGCGTAAATACTTATGCTAATAGTTTAACAGATTAAAAGAATAAAGAGGTTTGATAATAAGACTTCGGTGGGGGATGTATCATATGTCATGTCGCAGCAGAAAAATATAGCCGAAGCTATTTTCACAATAGGAATTGCTAGATTCAGAACAATCATTCATTCCTACTATGCTGGACGCTGCTCGCCGAACTACTTGTAAGTAATATGTAGAGGAGTGTGACGTCAGACGGAGAGAAGAGATTCAGTAAATCATAACCACAACGTGGCCGAAAACTTGATGGATGGTCGAAGACTATGTAAAAATACTTCGTAAATGCTGTATTTTCCCCATGCTCCTGTACTAATTAACTCCACAGGGAAAAGTTTTTAAACCTAATATAATATAAACTCATTGATTAGAGATTTCTACCATTTGTAGTAACGTTTGTTGAAGGATTGTTAGATCTTGACTGAAAGTGGAAGATGAAGATTATTTCATGAATAATCAATTCAGTATAAGGGTAGAATGTTAATTTCACTCTTTATTTCCAAAAAGTTGTCCCGTGCAAACCACTATCAAGCATATGATTTCGTGGTCATTGATACAAACGTATGAGATTTCAACAAACTGAAATATTTCTGCGCATAATCTCTCGATATGATATCGCTTTTTTCTGCAAGCATTGTTTAACCAGTGATCTCACCAATCAAAAAAATGAACGAAATCTTTCTTAATTTTCAATTACGAAATGAAAAAGGCTCAAATGATCTCAGTAGCTAGATAAAACGTTTTGTAAACTGCGCAATCGTTTACTGTTATATCTAAAGCCTTGATTCTTAATATGCCGCGAACTACTCGACTACTTGTGTTAAGTCGGTTTCCAGAGAACTCCAACAGAGCCTCCAGAGGCTCAAAAAGAGCTCCAACCAATCAGAGCACGACAGAACATTCTGGAGTTCCAACGTGGCACGCTATCATTGGTCAGTAGCAATTTATGTCGTTAAGTGGATTGGCTGAATTAGGATGTTGATTTAACTTAAGCAAACATCTATAAATACTTACGATTTTCTGTACAAAACTGAACCTTGCAATAAAGCATCTTCTCGTTACTCGTGTCTTCTCTCTTGTCTTCAAGTCGCTGAGTAGTGCTAGCCTGGGGTTATCAGAATAGCTTAGGATCTGAATAAGCGTTCAACCCAAAAGACATATCAGTGGCGACGGGGAAAAACTACAAGACATATCACTGGCGACGAGAAAAAAAAATGACAATGAGTATTTCTTTAGAGCAATTTGAAGCTTATATGGAGCGTCAAGAAAAACGGTTTGAGCAGTCTCAAATCAGAGTCATGGAAGCTCTTATGCAGAAATTATGTATGTCTCAACAAAACTCTGCTGCTGGTAAATTTCAAGTATCTCATACTGACTCAGTTATTAACGCAATCCATGAATTTAATTTTGATGGTGCAGCAGGTGTCACTTTTAACTCTTGGTTTAAGAAGTATGAAGATTTGTTTCATATTGATCTCTGCAGACTGGATGACGCTTCAAAGGTCAGAATACTTCTAAGGAAGCTTGGGACAACAGAACATGAACGCTATAGTAACTTTATTCTCCCGAAGAACCCACGAGACTTTAGTTTTGATGAAACAATTCAAACCCTGTCTCAAATCTTTGGAGAACAGTCGTCTCTATTTAATATCCGTTACCAGTGCTTGAAGATAACGAAAGAATCAGGAGATGACTGGGTGAAACATGCAGGTATTGTGAACCGAGAATGCGAGAGGTTCAATTTGTCTTCCATGTCTGAAGACCAGTTTAAATGCTTAGTATTTGTCTGTAGCCTGCGTTCACCTGAGGATGCTGACATCCGAACGAGAATCCTAAGCAAACTTGAGCATTGTCCCAACATGACCCTGCAGGAAGTGACTAATGAATGTCAAAGGTTAGTGAATTTGAAGCACGATACCTCGATGGTAGAAAACACTAACCAGTTCCTCCACGTTAATGCTGTTGAGAGGAAAGTCGAGCAAGGTTCCAGTACACAGAATTATCGAAATGACTGCGGTAAACCATCATCCCCATGCTGGTTATGCGGAGGTTGGCATTTCAAAAGGTTTTGTCCGTTTAAAAGTCATCGTTGTACTACGTGTTCCAGGAAAGGACACAAAGAAAGTCATTGCAAAACCCGTAAACGTCGTCAACCTAAAGTTTATTTTAAAAGATTCAAGCCACGCACAGCCAAGGTGACGGTAGCTGCTAACAGAATCGGCTCCCATAATCGTAGAAAGTATGTTTCCCTCAAGATTAACGGGTACGATGCCCGCTTACAGCTAGACACAGCCTCTGATATAACGCTTATAAGCAGGAGGACGTGGGAGAAAATTGGGAGGCCGAGAATATTTTCAACCTATCAGACAGCACACGGTGCATCTGGGGGGATTATAAACATTGCTGGTGAGGTTCACTGTAAAATCACAGTCGCAGAGCTTACAAAGAAGGGAGTAATATTTTTAACAGAACGACCAGCACTCGACTTATTGGGACTTGATTGGATAGAAAAGTTGAAATTATTAGATCGTCCCATAAATTCAATCTGCAACAACGGCACTATGTCGAAAGTTGGGGACCCAACATTGTTTCGTGGGGGAGGTTGAAGTCAGCAAATGCAGTCTGGATACCTACCCCGCTTCTTCAAAAAAGGGGAGGTGTTAAGTCGGTTTCCAGAGAACTCCAACAGAGCCTCCAGAGGCTCAAAAAGAGCTCCAACCAATCAGAGCACGACAGAACATTCTGGAGTTCCAACGTGGCACGCTATCATTGGTCAGTAGCAATTTATGTCGTTAAGTGGATTGGCTGAATTAGGATGTTGATTTAACTTAAGCAAACATCTATAAATACTTACGATTTTCTGTACAAAACTGAACCTTGCAATAAAGCATCTTCTCGTTACTCGTGTCTTCTCTCTGGTCATCAAGTCGCTGAGTAGTGCTAGCCTGGGGTTATCAGAATAGCTTAGGATCTGAATAAGCGTTCAACCCACAAGACATATCAACTTGAATGATAGAACCCGCAACGTAGCAAAAGAGAGAAGACAAAGACTGGTAAGTAGGAAATTTATTCCCCAAATCAGTGTCAAAATATAGCACCGGAATCTCGTGTATTTATAGTTTTTTGGCTGAATGTAAATCATCAATTAGGCCAACCAATAGGTACATAGGGGTCATTTTGATGTTGGTTTGTTCTCTGAGCTGGATGGTTTGATCGTGGAGCTTTCATCGTCCTTCTGAACGACATCATCAGCACAAACTTCGGGTAGGGGTCATGCTAATCCATCCAATGGGGAAGCTACACGTCGACATTCTAGAACATCCCCCTAGCAGTGATTGGATGGAATGTCTGTGGCTCTTCCTGGGCTTCTTAAGGCTTCCTAGAGTCTACTGACGGGCCGTCCTTACATTTACAATTAAATCTCCAAATGACTAGGTTGGAAACTTGACGTAACGACGACTTGCGAGCCACTATTATTCATGTATGTTTTCAGAGTTACAGCGTACGATTGCTTCTAGTGTTAAATAGAAGTGGACTGTTATAAGAAACAGTTAGTTTTCTAATATTGTAGAAACAAAGAATTTTGCAGTAAGTTTACTTGGTACCACGGCTTACAAATACGACTGTATTTCATTCATCTACATTACTTTTTAGAGTACTTGTAATGTTAATCTTTATTGTGTGAGTAAACATATTAAGCAGAAATGTATATTTACGCCAGCGTAACTATCAAAGCAGTTATAGTGACCGGAAAGAGAGGATGGGTTATCGTAATATTTCTGAATGCCTCTAACTAGGAGGAAGACACAATCTAAATAGCGCAATCACTAGACATCTGTTGGACACAAGATTTTAGATTAATAATAAACAGTCACGGTCCAGTTTTCTTAGGTTATCTAAAGCCATTTCTATCCTAGGTCAGAAACAACATTTGTCTGCCAAAGGAAAT